TCCAATACAAGTTATTTCCTCAACTTTCATTACATATACTTTAATATAAAATATACGAATTCAAATACAAAGGGTTTTAATATATCCACAAATATTAAAACCTCAGTTTTATAAAATGACAAACTACATAGATTGTATCTTAGAAAAATGACTAAACTATTGTAGTTTAAAGAAAAATTATTAAACTACTGTAGTAAGGCCCATGTGGGGGGAAAATGCTACTCTCTTTTGAAGTTCTGGGATCAAGGTGTTCCTCCACACAAATTGTTACAGCTTATAGTTTCTTTTCAAAAATATCATCATTAAATATCATAGCTGAGTTGGGGATAGAAGTGTATCATTACCCAGACTGAAGTTTGTACAATGTAACTATACTTTTCCAAGCTTTCTTGAAGAAAATACTACTGTTTTAAAGATTGCCACTGAGTGTATACTGTGTAAAAGGATACTCAGGAAGGGAAGAAGGCACTCAAAAGATGGAAAATGACACTTAAGAAAAATCTCAGGGTGGGGGGGATAGTTCAGCACTGAGAGCACTGGTTGCTCTTGCTAAGAACCACATGTGGGTTCTCAACCACTGGTGACTCTAGTTCCAGGGCATACGACTGAAATAGCCTCATAATATAACCAATGTAACAACTATAAGATTAAGTATTAACCTTAGATGGTGCCAAGACTGTGCTCTCAGAGATCATTTCCATGGCTCAATACCAGACCTGATATGTTACACATACTCTCTCTGTATAGACAAGTTCAGGTTTCCCCAAAAAACTGCCAAGAAAAGCGGTGTATTAAATGTTAAACTTCATAAAAGTAAGCCAGATGCTTAAATGCATAAGTGGTTAAGATTTTCTTTACATAACTGTTCTAATCAATTCACATTTTAGTGAAAATAATCTTATACTGCAAACAGCACAGCACCCTCTGGTGTATCCATTATAAGATATATAAAATTTCCACAATAAAAGGATAAAATTATAAGTCAAAAATAAACTTAAGGGATCAATAGGGTGATACTTTCTGAATTTATTCCAGCACAAATACTTAACATGCTTAAACAAAAAAAATCATTTTTAAAATAACACTATAAAATGTATAGCAATTCCGGTCAGAAAATTTGTTTCAGCTTTAATACTAAACCAACTAAAATAATATGTTTTCCGATATGTTAAATTAAGATAATGCTATCAATAAAATTTTTGAAGTAAGGAATGGCAAAATTTTAGAAGTTATGTAAGCTAAATCTCATTTTACTCAAACCCACCTGTTTTTGCTGTAGATAAATTTGACTTGACTATGTAAACTGTTGCTATATATATTTTCAGGATTCAAAGGCAGCTAATCATTAGTTAGACGGATGGGAAGATAGATGCAAATGAATCTGCAATTTCTACAGTTTGAAAAGCTACTGAGCTGGGTTAAAAATCAGGAGCACTTCAAAGACCAGGAGTGCTCAACTTTCCATAGAAAAAGAACCCTCTCCCTATGAAATAATTAACTGAAAGAGGCTATAACAAACTCAACATGATGCCACCTGCTTTGGACAGCCCTTTGTGACCCACTGCAAGTTCCAAAACAATGCAGAAAAAAGTGAAGCTGACACCTGTTTAAAGCAGCCATCTGTCTCTAACAAGTTAAATTTAGTCAAATCCACACTTAATCGTGCTTTTCCAAAATAAGGGAACACTATGCACCTGTGAAGAGAAAAAGAATTTAAAATCTATTTTGTGATTGACAACTGGGAATATATACTTAAAGAGTTAAAGAGCTAAGGCACAAAATTCAGTAAGAGAAACTATGTTTAATTAAACTGCAAATGAAATAAAGGCTATTTAACCAAATGCTCAGCATAAAAACAAACTAGCAAATTTCACAATTTAAAACCTGACTGACTTCTTTTTCTGTTTCTTGTAATAGAGTCTCCCTATAAGGATCAGAGTAATGCTACTGGAGTATTCAGGAAAAATGAACTCTTCCCACATATCTGATTCTATGAGCCATCCTTTTCAGCATGTGTGACCTGAAAAATCTTTGCTTTTCAGTTTTTAAAAAAAGGGCCATGACTAACCTATTTAGAGTTTTAAAAGATTGTTTGAGGAAAGTTAAAGAATATCTCACTATCTCACTTATAAACTCTAAGCCTTGTGAGAACCTTCACAGAATACAAGAGTATTTGAATATTGGATTAAAAATACAGTATTTTAAAAATTAGTTCTAAATACCTCATGCCAAGAAAGCAGTGTGAAATGATAAAAAAGCTTCTAGGAATGCATTCATTTATTATACATATGTGTGTATGTATGTATGTATGTATATATAAATTTACTATGCCTAGTCCCTATATAGTCTAATAGAAGTGTATATGGACAAGGTGGAATTTAAAAAAGCCTGAGATAGGCATCATGGCACACCCTCAATCACAAATATTCAGTTACCCAAATTGTTACTCTTTAATATATTTAGTTTTAAAGCACGCAGATTTGTTAGTCTAAAATACTGAAAACAAAGAATGCCGATGCAGAGTACAGTCCCTCCTAAGAAAAATAATATGGAAAAAATGAACTAAATGGTATTTAACTTTGCATTTAATGATCAATTATTACAATTCCAAATTAATTTTATTTTATCAGAAGCCAAAGCATCTGTAATATCAACTCTTAGAACACAAATTTGTTTCAAATCCAATGTTAAATTCATTTTTAAATGAACTTGTGAACAGAAAAAAATATATATAAATTTGGGGAAACTTGACAGATGCTTCATGAGTGAAATGTCTCTGAAACATTCTCGGACATTGCAAGTAAAAATATTAAGCAAAGACATTTTAGCACAAACAATCTATTCAGCCGAAACGTACATAAATGGCATAAGATCTAAACTGTCCCAAGACAGCAAAACTCTTTTCAAGTTCAGAGCCAGGAGATTCACCATCCAAAAGTGTTCAGGTATTTGACACTCATGTGAACAGGAAAAAAATAAAAAGAAAAGGAAAAGGAAGAAGAAATAAAGAAAAGGAAAGGAAAAAATACACGTTAGAATTTGAGATGTGCACTGAAGACAGGTTGGGGAAGGGATGTACCTATTGTGAGATCCAAACAGACTTCTTTCAGAATCTAATATCTCCTTCACTCAAAATAACAATCATACGGAAATGAATTAAAACATAAGGTTTTTTCCAGTCCCCCAACTCTTATTTTACAAAATATTAGCCTTAATGGCATTATAATTACCCAACCTCTTCATTGACAATCTCAAGAATAATTAATACTGTCACATTATTCACAGGCTGTTCTGTCAGTTAAATCAATAAATGTTTGTTGTTAAAAGATTATTTAAATAAGCACTTTAAAATCTGAATTGGAATTTCATATGTGTAACTATAATAGTACATTTTATTTGTTTTAGTTCAGTCATTATCAATTTTTTGTTGCTGATAATCTACTAGGTATTAAGCTGAAAATGAGCAAAATTAAAGGATCTGTAAAACCCGGTTAGCTCCAATCAAGAAGACACTACTTGAGAACTGGTATTCAAATATACAGGGGGCAACTATTTTCTCCAAAGAAATACTTTAAAAGGAAGTTTTTTTTTCCTCCTGAGCAGGTTTAAATCATTGTCTAAAGAAAAGCAGAAAGTCAACAAAAAGACTATGTTAAGCACACACAAGCCTAGATCTTAACAGTCACAAAGAAAGTGAAATATACACACGTTTCAAGTTGAGAAGCTTCATACATTCTTTATGAACAACTTGACTTCAATTTCAACTCTCCAAGGGAAACGAAAAGAGATGAAGATGGGAGAGAAAAAAAACTCTCAAAGTATCATAACTGTCACAAATAGCGTTGTGAACTGAGTTCTCACAAAGCTTCCTTGTGTCCTTTTCCTGTTCATCACAGACAAAGTCTCAAAACCACAATGAAAATTGCTAACACTCTCCTGTGGGGAGGGAGGTGCATCAAAGTGAAACAGAACCTCAGGACTACCCCTCCCATCTCCACATGAAGGATAAAGCGCTGTCAGGAACCACTAACCCAAGTAGCACAGATGCCCTGCATCCGGTTTAAATCACAAGCGCGCGCGCACACGCACACATACACACACACACACATATATACAAACACACACACACACACACACGCCGAAAAGGAGGGGAAGCAGGGAGAGAGAGACAGAGAGATAGAGCGAAAGGAGAGGGAAGAGAGACAGAGAGACTTAAAAAAAAAATCTCAGAGCAGCAGAGGCCCCTGGTTTCAATGTGTGTGCAAAGGGGGGAGGGGGGAGGGAAGACTGCTGAATGGATAGTAAGACTGTTTGCTGCACAAAGAAAAATACAGTTTTAAAAGAAAAAAAGAATCCCGTGAGACCAGTGATGGTCAAAGAAGTGCAGCCCGTTTAGCGGCAGGCAAAGAGGGGCCAAGACGAAGGGAGCGGGCTGCGGGAAAAGTTCACGGAGCTACGAGGATAAAAATAACAAAACCCCCAACAAGGCCCCGCAAGTGAACAACAACAACAGCACAGCACCTTTCGGGGTCCCCCCTGCTCACTGCTGTCTGTTTCGATCTGGACAAGCAGCGGCAGCCACCAGGCAGCTTTGGCAAAGCAGCGAAATTAAAGAAAGAGAGAGGGAGAAAGCAAGCCCCCTTCTCTCCACCTGCCCCTCCTCCGGAGTGCCCGCAGACCCGGGGGGGAACGCTCCGACACCCGCGACGGACAGCGGCGGCTTCCCAGCCTAAGCCCGCTCTCTCGCTCGCTCGCCCCGCAGCCCCGGCTCCCGCTCCATCCCAGAGCGCCGAGGCCGGGCGGGCAGGCGCGCGGCGCCCACACCCCCGAGCCCGCCGCGCGCGGGTCCATTGTAAACAAGCCCCGGGGACCGAGCCCCTCCAGCGGCCGCAGCCGGTGTCAGGAGGGAGACCCCCGCACAGCCACGCTCGCTCGCACACACGAACACACGCACGGACACACACGCTCCCACACACATGTAGAGACCGAAGAATATTCACCTTGGCTGTGGATTATTGTGGTGTTGTTGGTGGGTGATGGAGATGGTGGTGGTGGGGAGGAGGAGGAGGAGGAAGAGGAGGAGGAGGAGGAGAGGAGTAGTTGTTGTTGATGGGTAACAGTCGCCAGGACTACGGTGACTATGGCGCTTGATTCACAAGGCAACGGTTGCTATAACTCACAAAAGAGAGAGAGAGGGAGAGAGAGAGAGGGAGCGAGGGAGAGGGAGACACTCGCGCGGGGAGGGGCGGGGGAGGGAGGGAGGGAGGGAGGAGGGGAGAGGGCGGGCCCGAGAGCGCCGGAAGAAGCGGCTTCGGCGCCGTGACTGACAGCTCGGAGCCCGGGCGGGGGGCCGCGGTCGGGATTCCGACGTCGCTTCCCCCGAGGTGCGCTTAGACTTGGCGGGCCCGCCCGGGGTCAGTGCGCGGGCGGGCTGCAGGAACGCCACTGCGGACGCCGGGCGGCCGGGGCCGCTGAGGGCTACTGTCCGGGAAACGAGCCCCGCCTGCCTCCGCAGCCAGCCCCGTGCCCAGGAGCCCCGCAGCCCCGAGAGGGAAACCGCGAAGCCGGGGAGGGGGAGTGACGACGGCCCCAGCACTGTGGGAGACGCGCGCTACTGCGGGGGCAGACCCCGCTTTCAAGAGCGGGCTCCGCCCCTGGATACGTCATTTCCGGGGCGTGCCCGAGGAAGGGCCCGGATGTGCTGCGCTCCTCCCCCTTAGTGTTCCCCCCCCCCCCCCGCGATCTTTTTTTTTTTTTTTTCCCCTTCCCCTCCTCGCCACGCTCGCCGGTGGTGTTCCCCGGTCGTTTGTGCCTCGCGGGCGAACCCTTTTCCCAGGCTCTCTGCGGCCGGCCGGCGCGGACCCCAGAGTCTCGGCCGTGCTCTCCCCTCCGCCGCCCGCGCCCTCGGCTCCCTGAGCCTCACGAGGCCGCAGCTCCGGGAGCGCGGGCGGCGGGGCGTGAGCGGTGCCTCGGCCGCCATCTTAGGGCTCGAGAGCCTGGGCGCGCGAACCGTGGCCCGTCCGGCTCGGCTTGGCGGAGCCCTCCCTGCGGAACGGAGAGGCCACGGTATCACCCCCGCAGGACCCGGAGGAAGTGCTCACGAGAAGGGGATGTGTGCTTCCCGGGGATGAGGGTCCGTGCAGGGGTGGGCTCGACCTTCCTGGGAAACGCTTGAGTAGTCCGTGAGGTGCTCGACCCCTCTCAGAGTTGACGGCAGGGACTTGAGCTGGACCCTATTCCTGGTCTCCGGTTCCCCTACAGCCTAGGCTAGCCAAGGCTCTTGAGCTGTTTCTGGCCGGTTTTGAGACAGGCATGGCTTCCGTCCATGAAGAACATGATTAGCACAAAACCTGGTACCTCAAACTCCGGTTGATAAGGCACAGCTTCTAATACCTCCCGGTTCAAGCATATTCGTCCAATTCCCGCACTGGAGTTCAGCAGGCACGTGCCCCCGGGCTCGCCAATACCCCAAAGCTCCAACATTTGCGGCTAAGCAGCTTATCCAAGACAATAACATATTGGAAGTAGAGCCTTAAGAAGTCAGTTCTTCTCTTGAGGCTTAATTTTTGCACCTGCAAATAAGGGATTTGGGCCGGCATGAGTTCACTGTTAAAAAAAAAAAAAAAAAAAAAAAAACTGAGCTCTTTTTCTGTGCCACGGACCTTGTGCTAAGTGTTTTACATACATTATCTCATTTAATCCTGACACCTGTTCTTTCGGATACATAATATTCTCGTTTTAAGGAAAACAAGCCGTCGTTTTATCTCTTCTCCGAGTGTGCCATGAAATACTAGGCAAAGACATCCTAGGAACCAACTATTAGTACAATAGATTTAAGAGTAATACTGAAGGCTTTGATAATTTCATAATGATTTGGAGTCTTGCTTGTAAGTCACAACACAGGAGCTAACAGTACAAACAAGCACGGGGCTAAAGTTACACGAGGTCCTGAGCCACTGTGGTGGTAGACAGAAATGACATCGTGGTGAATTAACAGCAGTTAAATTTCTTCCAATTTAGAATACTCCCTTTGCAGCGTTTACAGCTCAGGTCCTCTGCTATGAGGTTGGTTAGGACTGCTGGATGATCCGTAGCCCATTGTCTGTTAGGGCGCCTGTTTCCCCCACTCAGCTGTTGCTTCTTACTGCTGTCAGTGAGCAGAGTTCTATTATCCTCCCCACCCTTTTAATTTACTGCTTTTAATCTTCACGAAAGGAAACCACATAATGAAGCTTGTGCAAAACTGTCTCGAGGGTATAAATAGATACTTTGAGGCAGTGTCCTTTAGGAAAAGTGTGACCTTTGCGCTTAGAACATTGTTAACATCAGTTTCAAGCAACTGAGAGCCTTCTTTATTCCTGGTTTCTGGTATCATCTTTTTATGCTTTCAGATTGCGTACTTTTGTTTATATGAATTGTTAAAAAGTTAGGATATTTTTTCCTTTTATAATAATTGGAGGTATGTCTTCCAATTGTAGTAAGGTTAATATTTAATTTCAGTGTTACCTTTATACTAGTTCAAATAAGCAAGCTACAATGCAGCTATAGAATTCAAAACATGTTAGATTATTGTTTCTATAACTTATGTATATACATGTAATGTATGATGTGTGTGTGTGTGTGTGTAAATACACACTAAGTAAACCCTTTGCTTCTCAATTGTCAGTTCTGACAGGAATTCTTTTCAGATCATTTTTAAAGCTGTGTGGTCGTATCTTCATATGTATCATACATGTATTTCAGAAAAAACTTGTTAGGGAGTCTTAGGAAAGACACAGCAGGGGGTAACAATTACTGCTTTTAATAATGAAACATATAATCTGAACTCAAGGAACGTATCTTACATTTCTTGACAATTCAATACACTATCGATACAATTTTTTTACTGAATTCCTAATATGAAACAGATGAAGTTCCTTTCCGAATAATTCTCAGTTTCTCTGTTAATTCTAATAATTTCCTTTGAACTTTGTTTCCACTCTAAGACTGTAGTTATTGGGAAAGACATGGGTGAACACAGTCATGTCTAAAACACTTGAAGGAAAGCTGATTTTTCTGTCTATACAAATTGCTATAACATATCCTTAAAGGTAAACTTCATTTTCACCATCAATCTGTTAGGCTATTTCCTCCTGTGGACACCTACTGCACACTCAAGAACTAATAAAGAACTTCAGTATTAATGCTTGGGAAAGTGTATGCAAAGATAAAATGCTGACATGCCATGTGTTGCTTCCAAAAAAAATTGTTTAGGAGGGTTTTTAAGTGTATACTATGGCACCTTACCATTAAATTCGCAGCAAAACTTGTATAAAGCAGAAATCACAGCTGTTTTAAAAGCGTGCATTTGACTCCCTGTTCGACTGAAGCACACAATAGAACTTTGCTCCCATATGAGAAATGGAAGGTTTCCTTGCAGCTAATGTTCACTAAGTAATACAGTGCACAAACTGCTAGTGCGGCAGGTTACTGATCCAAAATTCTGTGACTACGTGATAATTACCAATGACAAGAGAGCGCTGGAAGTCAAAGTGATTCAAGACTGCACAGTGGCTTGGCGTCCTCCTCCAGCAAACAAGTATGGACATCATTTCTAACCATCCTCCGGGGCACCCCTCAGAAAGCATGCTTTATTTCAAAAACAGTGCAGTAAGTAACTGGTTTGGTCAATTGGTCTTTATAATTGTGTTTTCATTAAGTGCCGCAAATCAGTTGATTATTCAGTCAGCCTGAAGTCTGTCTATTCTTGTATATCTCGAAATTAGACTTTCACTCCAGTGCTAAAGATGATCACAGAATTGTAAATTGACTACCATTGTTCAAGACCAAAGTAAAATTTATATATGCATACTGCTTTGCAATTAATTCAGATCAAGTACAGTATTTGCACCATTAAACCCAAATATCTGGCAACAATCCAAATGTCAGATGTCTATCAGCTAAAGGATGCATAAACAAATTGTGATATATAGTCACACGTGGTAATGCAACTGAACAGTGGAAAAGACTGTTGCTATACAAAACTACGTGAATACATCTCAGAATCATTATGTTCAACAAAAGAGGCCGGGTGCAAATGTGCAAATCCACTTATATGCCGTCCAAGGGAAACTGGTGTTTCCCTGTGAGGGCAGCAGCACCAACAGAGAGGGATTTATTGGCAGAGCGGGTGAGAATTTCTAGGGTGACAGCAATGTCCCACACACTTCAAGTTGTTTGCCACTATCCATGTGCTACTTAAATTTAATTGTAAATTAATTTCTTGAAAAATTGATACAGCCACATTTTTAAGTTCTCAGTAAACACGTGTGGCAAGGGCAACTAATTGGGACAATATACACACCGTTGTGTTTCAGAATTTCTACGGAAGGATGCCGTTCCTTTTCTCTTTTAAAGTAATGTCCATATAGATGTTTATATTTGTCAAAATTGTGATTAATGAATATTATATGTTGATTTTACCTACCCCCTAAATCCCAAAAATCACTAGCCTACTTTTTAATACATTACTAATTTGATTAGCCAACTTTTTTAATTGTTTTTATTCAGTTCAGGAAAAGAATAAGAAAATTATCCCTGGCAATTTTTTTCAAAGATGTGAGTGTACCAGGAAGTAGAGGATTCCATTTGCTGCTCAGAGAAATAAATTCTGACACCTTAAAATCTGCAGTATCCTGAGGAAAAAAGGAAACACTTGAGGACTCAAAGTGCACTCTAGAATTCTTTGAAGAAAAATTTCCTTTTGCCCCCTGAGAACCTTGGAGTATGGAAAGGTGATAAAGACTACATATAACCTTGTGAGGCAACACAGAAGAACTTGGGAGAAGCAGGTACTCTGACTACATTATAAAAGTCAAGTAAGTTCTCTAGATCACTCTTAACAGTCAAAGGAGGCCAACAAAATGGCTCAGTGGCAAAAGCGCTTGCCAATCCTGGTGACTTAAACTTAATCCCCAGCTCCCACATGGTAGAAAAAAAGAACCAACTACCACAAATTGTTTTAAGATCTCCACACACAGGCAGTGGCACTCACGTAACTATCCCCTCTACCGCCCCCCTACATACGTAAAAAATAAAAATTCAAGGGCTTTTGAGATTGAAGGAAATTAAGTTTGCATCACAGATCAAAGATCGCTGATCTCAAGCTCTGAATTCTAAACTCCATGTACTTTAAAGATGAAAAAAAAAAACAGATTCAACATACTCAGTAGAAAATACTCAGTAAATATGTTAAGCTAATACTTTTATAAGAGAGAAAAATGAATAAAAATATTGACTCTAAATATAGATAGTAAATAGGTCCACTGGAGTTTAAGCAGTTTGTGAACACCACGTAGATTTTTACAAGACGATGAATATGAATTATTAACAATTGAACCATAGCCATCAATTAATGTCAGTATTTCATAATGAAAATCACTTTAATTTTATCAATTACCAGTGGTCAAAAAAGAGATTTTAATTGAGCTAAATTATTTAATTGAACTAAATTATTTAACGGACAAGTTCTTAAATTGTCTTCCTCTTCCTCCGCCAAGCTGGAATAAAATCTGAAAGAGACAGCTCCCAGGTCTGGGCTGGGCCATTATGCCTCTGAACTATACAAATACTGCCTAGGTCTTCCTTT